CTTCCTTTCTCCATCCCTCTTTCTGACTTCTCCCTTCCCCACATCTTGAAGAATTTTAAAAAGTCAAGGTCAAAATTCCAATCCCTTTAAGGAAATAAAAGTCCAGGTCCTTGTTTAGTCATCGACAGGTAATTGAGGTTCAAACCACCAGCCACTCCTCAGAAGAAGACTGGGCAATCTACTTCCATAGAGATAGTGCCTCAGAAACCCAAGGAGGGGTCACTATGAGTTGGAACTGACTTGACAGCAGTGAGTTTTCTTTTTAATCTTTTTTTTTTTTTTAAATAGTAGAAAACCATTATTGCTCCACAGACCTGCTGATCTTCCTCCTAGACATGATCTAATAAATCCTTCCACTAGCCACAACCAGATTGTCTTGGCATTGTGAAAAGTCATTTGTCCCATGACCCAAGACATGAAAAGGACCCCACTCAAAGGTCGCTTGACTGCTAACCAGAAGGCTGATGGTTCAAACCCACCAGCCACTCCTCGGAAGGAAGGTTGGGCAATCCTACTTCCGTAGTGATACTGCCTCGGAAACCCAAGGAGGGGTCGCTATGAGTCGGGGCCGACTCGATGGCACATAACAACAACAACAACAACAACAAAGGTCAATCAGACTCTCTCAGCAGGAACTTGAATTTGATGGAAAGTGTGTCTGTCAGTTTGTCATACTGTGGTGGCTTGCGTGTTGCCGTGAGCTGGAGGCTATGCTACTGGTGTTGCAAATACCAGCAGGGTCACCCATGGTGAACAGGTTTCAGTGGAGCTTCCAGATCGAGACAGACTGGGAAGAAGGAAGGGGCCATCCACTTCTCAAAAAATTGGCCAGTGAAAACCATATGAATAGCAGTGAAACACTGTCTGTTATATTAATCGAAAGTTTTATGAATAACCCTGAAACATTGTCTGATATAGTGCCAGAAGATAAACCCTTCAGGTTGGCACTAAAAATATGACTGAGGAAGAGCTGCCTTCTCAAAGTAGAGTCAACCTTAGTGATGTGAATAGAGTAAAGCTTTCAAGACCTCCATTTGCTGTTGGGGCACATCTCTAAATGGGAAGAAATAGCTGCAAGCATCCATTAATCATCAGAATGTGGAACATATGAAGTATGAATCTAGGAAAATTAGAAATAGTAAAAAATGAAATGGAATGCATAAAGATTGATATCTTAGGCATGAGAGAGCTGAAATGGACTGGTATTGGCCATTGTGAATGAGACAATCACATGATCTACTACTCCAGGAATAACAAATTGAAGAAGAATAGCATCCCATTCATTGTCACAAAGGATGTTTCAAGATCTGTCCTGAAGTACAAGGCTGTCAGTGATAGGATAATATCCATACACCTACAAGGAAGACCAGTTATTACTACTGTTATTCAAATTTATGTATCAACCACTAAAGCCAAAGATGAAGAAATTGAAGATTTTTACCAACTTCTGCAGTCTGAAATTGACTAAACATGCAATAAAGATGCATTGATGATTACTGGTGATTGGAATGCTAAAGTTGGAAATGAACAATCATCGGTAGTTGGAAAATATATAAAAATAACACTGAAGATCACATGACAGAATTTTGCAAGACCAATGACTTATTCATTGCAAACACATTTTTTCAACAACATAAACAGCAGCTGTACAAGTGGACCTCACCAGATGGAATACACAAGAAGAATCAGATTGTGTACATCTATGGAAAGAGGCAATGGAGAAGCTCAATATCTTCAACCAAAACAAGTCCAGGAGCTGACTGTGGAATGCACCACCAATTGCTCATATGCAAGTTCAAGTTGAAGTTAAAGAAAATTAAATCTACGAGAGCCAAAATATGACCTTGCTTATATCCCACCTGAATTTAGAGATCATCTCAAGAAGAGATATGATGCACTGAACACCAATGAACAAAACCCAGACAAGTTGTGGGGGTGACATCAAGAACATCATACATGAAGAAAGAAAACAGTCATTAAAAAGACAGGAAATGGATGTTAGAAGAGACTCTGAAACCTGCTCTTGAATGAAGAGTAGCTAAAGTGAACAGAAAAAAAATGAGATAAAAGAACTGAACAGAAGAAGGCAGCTTGAGAAGACAAAGTAAAGTGTTATGGTGAAATGTGCAAAGACCTGGGCTTAGGAAATCAAAAGGGCAGAACACACTCAGCATTTCTTAAGCTGAAAGAATTGAAGAGAAAATTCGAGCCTCCAGTTGCAATATTGAAGGGATTCTACAGGCAAAATATTGAATGATGCAGGAAGCATCAAAAAAGATGGAAGGAATAGACAGAGTCACAGTACCAAAAAGAACTGATCGACATTCAGTATTTCAGGAGGTAGCATATGATTAAGAACTAATGGTACTGAAAGAAGTCCAAGCTGCACTGAAGGAATTGGTGAAAAGCAAGGCTCCAGGAATTGATGGAATACCCATTGAGATATTTCAATAAATGCAGTGCTGGAGGTGCTTACTTGTCTACGTCATGAAATTTGGAAGACAGCTACCTAGTCAACTGACTAGAATAGATCTATATTTGTGCCTATTCCAAGAAAAGTGATTCAATAGAATGTGGAAATTATCAAATATACCATTAATATTACATGCAAGTGAAATTTTGCTGGAGATAATTCAAAAATGGTTGCAGCAATATACTGACAATGAACTGCTAGAAATTCAAGCTAGATTCAGAAGAGGATGTGGAATGAGCGATATAATTGCTGATGTCAGGTGGATTTTGGCTGAAAGCACAGAATACCAGAAAGATGCTTACTTGTGTCTTATTGACTGTGCAAAGGCATTTGACTGTGTAGATCATAACAAATTATGGATAACATTGAGAATAATGGGAATTCCAGAACACTAAATGTGTTCATGAGGAACCTATACATAGACCAAGAGGCTGTTGTTTGAACAGAACAAGGGGATAAACTGCATGGTTTAAAATCAGGAAGGGTGTGTGTCAGGGTTGCATCCTTTCCCCATACTTATTCCATCTATATGCTGAGAAATAACCTGAAACGCTGGACTATATGAAGAAGAATGTGGCATCAGGATTGGAGGAAGACTCATTAACATCTTGCGATATGCAGATGACCCTGCCTTGTTTGCTGAAAATGAAGATGACCTGATACACCTACTGATGAAGATCAAAGACTACAGCCCAGTATGGATTACACCTCAAAATAAAACAAAAATCCTCACAACTGGACCAACATCACTATAAATGGAGAAAACATTGAAGTAGTCATGGATTTAATTTTACTTGGATCCACAATCAACACCTATGGGTTGCAGCAGTCAAGAAATCAGACATTGTATTGCACTGGGCAAATCTGCTGCAAAAGCCCTCTTTAAAGTGTCAAGAAGCAACGAAGTCACATTGAAGACTGTGATGTACCTAACTCAAGCCATGGTATTTTCTGTTGCCTCATATGCATGTGAGAGCTGGACAATGAATAAGGAAGACTGAAGAAGAGTTTGAATTATGGTGTTGGCGAAGAATACTGAAAATACTGTGGACTGCCAGAACAATGAACAAATCTTTCCTGGAAGAAGTTCATTCAGAATGCTCCTTGGAAGCAAGAATGGCCAGGCCTCGTCTCATCTACTTTGGTCATGTGGTCAGGAGGGACCATTCCCTGTAGAAGGATATCATCCTTGGTAATGTAGAGGGTCAGTGAAAAAGGGAAGACCCTCAATGAGATAGACTAACACAGTGGCTGCAACAACTGACTCAAGTATAGCAAGGATTGTGAGGATGGTGCATGACCAGGCAGTGATTTGTTCTGTTGTACACAGGATCGCTGTGAGTCGGAATCCATTCCATGGCATCTAACAAAAACATGTAGTTGGAACCAAGTAATGCTGGCAACATTTCTCATGAGTTTCTGCCTTTGGAGCTGCCTCCTTCAACTAATTTCTGAAATTTGGCTATTTCCTTTAACTTTATTTCCTTTAACTCTGTGTTTCTCAATATCCTTCCAGTAACTTCCACCACTGTTTTAGTCAGGGACAATTTCTGTCTTTTGCAAAAGAGAACTTTAATTGATACAAGCTATTATTCTCCAAAAGTTACTCTGAAGCCCTTCTTCAGAAAGTCACATGGCGTCCTCTCTACAGTATTAAGAAAGGATTGTTGTTGTTGTTTGCCGTCCAGTCGGCCCCGACTCATAGCGACCCCTCCTTGGGTTTCTGAGGCAGTATCACTACGGAAGTAGGATTGCCCAACTTTCCTTCCGAGGAGTGGCTGGTGGGTTTGAACTGCCAGCCTTCTGGTTAGCAGTCAAGTGCTTTAGCCACTATGCTACCAGAGCTCCTTAAGAAAGGATAAACTATGCATATCTCAAACATCTGGGAAAGAATGTAACAGATCTAATTATTCAATCAATAATTTATTCCAAATGTTTGTTGTGCACACAGATATACCAGGTACCGGGCTAGGTGATATTTTAATAAAATAGGTAGACACACTGAGCTAATGGAGTGAGAAAAATAAGTCACAAATAAGTAAGCAACATATTCACAAATTGTGAGAGGGGCTATAAAGGAAAAGGGCAAGTGTTGAGTCAGAGGATAAGGTGTGTGGGTTGGTGATGGGTGAGGGTGGTGGTGATCAGAAGTAGGAGTTAGGCTGTGGGGCGGGGGAGAGAGGACAGGTAAGAGTTGGCATCTGTGCCTGGGGCTGGGAGGAAAGGTTTTGGCAGCAACTGTTAATTTGTTGTTTAGAACCATGGGAACTAATGAAAAAGGCCAGGATAAAACGAGTATATAGAGAAAAGAGTGCAAGCCTTAACTCTAACTCTACCTATAGAGAAGGACATTAACACCTCTACACGTTAACAAGCGACTTAGACAAACCACAAACGTCCTGGCAGCCACAACGCTTCCCTCCCACTCCTTTCTCCACCAGACTACACTTCCCAGAACTTCGCAGAAACCACGGTCGACCCGGAAGTTGCTCTCAATCGCTTCCGGCGCAGGTGGTCCTGGATCATTATGGCGACACTCAGATTGTCAGTGCAGTTGTGGAGCCTCGGGACCTATTCTCGGCGAGCGGAGCGAGTCTGTTTTCGTTCTCAGCTACGGCAACGGCCTAGCGCCCTGCTCCAGCCGCTGCCCGGGTTCTACAGGGCAGGGTCGCCATGCCGCCTGGTCGTCTCCGAAGCCGGTAAGTCAGCTAGATGTCCACTAGGACGTCCTCTTAGGAGACCTAGAATCTGCTTCTGACTGGCGAGAACCACGCGGCTGCTCCCCCGGCTTTTCCCGCAGCGCGTTCTCAGACCCAGACGGTTCTCTTCTGTACTGCGTCCGCGTTAGTTCACTGAGCTAACAGTTTCGGAGCTGGCTCCTTGCAGAGTTCTATGCTAGATTTACTGCATTAGCAAACGGAGAGTAACATGAGGTTTTCTTAGAGGGAGCTCTTGGTCCAATGCTTTGTCGCCCGAGCATTATGGGACGCACATAGTATATGCATTCAACCAAGCTTGGAAGGGTAAAGAAGGCTTGCTGGAATATACGACCAAAGGTGACACCTACTTAACCATGCTAGGGAGGACGCAAGAAACATTACAGAGGGCACAGCATGGGCAAAGGCCCGGAAGTGAAACTGAACACAGGCAGTTGGGAACAAATTTTGGAGGTAGAAATGGTGTATTATTTGTACGTGGGCAGGTCTCAGAGTCCTCGTTTATAAAATTGGGGTAGTAATACCTGTTTTGTGGGTTATTGTAAGCATGCCTGGAGGTGTATGTGTTGTTGTTGTTAAGTGCTGTCGAGATATGTATGTAGTACCTGCCATATGTTGTTGTTGTTATGTGCCGAGGAGTCAAACCCGACTCATAGCGAGCCCTCCTTGGGTTTCCGAGGCAGTTCACTACGGAAGTAGGATTGCCCAACCTTCCTTCCGAGGAGTGGCTGGTGGGTTTGAACCGCCAGCCGTCTGGTTAGCAGGCAAGTGTCTTAGCCACTAT